TCCTATAAACATATCCTAAATATTCACCAACATCATTTGGTTAATACTTTTATTTTGTGTGTGTGAAAACATTGACTTACATAAAATCTGACAATGTATATACAGGATTGAGAAGTAGAACTTGCAAAATTGCTGTGACCTTTAAAACTCACTTATTATGCATAAATAAGCCTATTAACATAAAAGGATATTAATAAAACACATCTAATATCAAAGTAGGTAAATTCTACACCACAAAGTCCTTTGGCATCCTGGTCCACTCCTTGTTGATGACAAGCTTGAGAGTGTTGATTTTGAGAGGCCTGTTCCAAAAATACAGGTCTGGGCTAGAAGAGAATTAGAAATCAGTAAAGACAGTTTTGTAGAACTTCTGCAACTTTTTGACTGTTCAGCTCAGAACACTGAACTTGCTCATCACATAGTTGACCTTCTGGTAGTTGACTTTGAGCCATTACAAAGAATGATACCTCATGCATCAACACTCACTTTTTCTCCAAGATTGATCATTCATAGAGGGTATGGTGAAAGTTTGATTCTTATATGGGTACACCATTATTACTGCCTAGAAAAAAAAAACTGTTAATATACAGAACCATGTGAATGTTTCCTGCCACATTAAACTATTGTAAATTGCTGATAATTGCCAATTTATAAGTGAATGTTTTCTACAGATGAGGCATTAGCCATATTGAAGTCAGTTCCATAACTAATCTTCAAATTTTATAGCAGAGATACTGAATGAGATGAAGGTGTGCAGTGACCTCAAAAAAAAAAAAAAGAAGAAATTAAGACCTTTTAGTTTGCTCTTTTTGTAACAACTTTGATATATATTTTTTCTTATATATAGTGAAAATTCTTACATCAAATTTTTGTATTCTTTCATTGCTTGAAATCAAAGTGAAAATTTCCAATGAAATCAAGATGAAGGAAGAGAGTTAAGAATCTGAGCCAGTGATCAATAGCTTAGGAACTAGAAATTTGAAGAAGTGACATTTCAGAATGCTTCTCAAACACTTAAGGTGCTGGAAGTGTTTTAGATCAAACAAGATATGACCAGCCTCAAAAATTACAGTCTAGGATGGCATAGAAACTGATCAGACAGTAAAACCTCTTCCAAAAAAGAAATGCAATACAAGTGAAGGATGAATGCAACTTGTTCAGTTTGGTGTTAATAGATATAACTATATACACCTTTATGAACATGAATTGAAAGGAGCATTTCAGGTAAGAAATCAGTGTTAGAAAAAGAATAGTATTTGAAGACAAGATTAAGTTGGTCAATGAGGTATGAATTATGGTTTGGAAATGCTGAGAATAAGATTATAATCAGTAATGAAACCAGGGTATTGTTGCATTCAATAAGCAAGAAATCCCCAGAAGGCTTACAAAAAAGTGAAATGAATCACATTATATAACAAAAAACTGAAGTTTGGGGCTCTGATGAAATGAAGTTCGATACTTTTGGAATACATTAAAAAAAAAAAAAAGATATTTCAAGAAAATTAGTTAAAATTGACATTAGCTTGAATAGTGCCAAATATATCCAACTACTGAAGGATAATTTGATACAAGACTTGGATGAAAGTTAAGATTTTTCAAAATGAAGTTCCATGCCACAGATCATGTAAACATAACAATCTGGTAGATGAAAGTATCACCATATTAAAAGATTGGCCAGCTCAGAGCTTTGACATAAATATCAAGACATGGCTTGAAAAGAATTCATGCAATCTTGTTGGGTGGTAGGGATATAGACTCAGAAAATGATGTCTCATAGCTGTGAAGATGGTTAAGGATTTGTATACATTCCTTCTTAGAGGCATTGAGTCAATTATTCAAGCTAAAGAACTTACACAAAATATTAGCAATATACAGTAACTTCTTGAAATGAACATTATGTAATATATTTTAATTTTAAACATTTTTCTGTTTTAAAACACTCTGGTTTGGTTTATGTGAGGTGGCTACAAACTTTAGTACGGCTGTTTTTCAGGGTTGTCTTGATTCATCGTGTCTCATTCAGAACTCATGTTACAAAATAGGATAATTAGGTATGGAAATTACTCCAACAGGACCAATGTTCCATCTTTAGAAAATATGATGTGTAACCACCATTTGTAAGCTTATAATTTTATTGGAAATTTACAGTGGTTTTAAAGTAGCTGAAAACTCTTGAATGGTATTAGGATATTTATTAAACACATTGATTTTTATATCAAATGGTACATGTATATAATATAAAATGTTAATATGAACTTGCTGCCACCAGTTTCCAAACTAAGGTTGTCAAATGTATAAAATGGATTTGCTTAACAATTTTCCAGTTACAATTCTGAATAATGGGTTTTTGTAGCATAATAGGGATGAGTATACAGTGAACAGCAGAAACAGAATTGTGTTAATGTAATTGGTTATAACATATATATATAGAGAGAGAGAAAGAGATTATTCATTGATTTTAAATTTTTTATATTTTTGGCATTTCTCTTGAGTACTTCACAAATCAGAAAGTGTCTTTTTATCTTGAGTCATTCCACAAGCAATGTCTAAATTTATGATTAAAAAAAATCAAAATTCTATGTTTAATTATTTACCTAGGTTTCATCACTATCAATAACTTCCTTTCAACAATTCACAAGCTTCATAAAACATTTTTTTTTTTTAGGAAATAAAAAATGTACAAAGAGTAGTTTCCAGTTCTTAATGTGTTTGAAGAACTAGTCCATCAAGATGGTTCTGTAAATACTAGAACATGTGGTAATCAGATGGAGTAAAATCTGGAGAACAAGGAAGGCAAGTTGTAGAGTGAATGGCCTTAGTTAAATGTAAAATAAATGACAGAACTGTCCAACAAACAAAATTGACAAGGTTTGCAATAACAAGAAAAAGAAAAGAAGGGGATAAAAAAATATTATAAAGCAAACAATATATGCAAGACAAATTTACAGTAATAAGGAAAAGCAACAGTAATATGGCAAAAAGTTCACAATCTAAGAATTGGGGTTGACACACAAGAGCAAGTTTGAATAAGTGAATGTATTGTTCTGACTTCCAGACAAGACAGAAAAGGACTGAGTCATATGAAACTGAGACCTGGCCTGATTTATTGGCTCGGAAAAATTCCCAATATGCATTTGTGTGCTTCTATAAATTGGGGAGGGGTAAGTGTTTTGTAGTCGTTCTTATTGTGACTGAAACCAACACAAGTGGTTTTTCTAGCCAAAGTCTTCAATCTTTTCAAATGTAACCTTTGCTGTATAGAGTTATGCATTATGATGGAAAAAGCTCACTTTTGAAACTGATCAAACTGTTCTTCTCTCTCTCTCATGCACACTCTGACTCATTTTTTTTCCCTTCTATTAAAGCAGTGTTTAACTATTCTAACTTCAGTCTGTACATAGATATTTGTAGTTGTGACATTGACTGGTAGCAACTCAAAATAGGCCGCACCAATGCCCTCATCAAATGCCAGAACTTTTTTGGGGGTGGAGAATAATTTTAGGCTGTGCTTTAGCCTTCTTACTTTCTCTGTCTGCATCTCTATATTTTAAAATATCCATTTTTCATTTATCAATCTGTAATTTATTAAAAAATGGCAAGATATATTCATGAAAGTGCAAACAAGTGTAAAGATCCACTCTTGTTTAATGGTTGGCTCTGTCAAATCATATAAAAATCATTTTACAACTTTATATACCTTTCCAAGTTGTTTCAGATGATAGTGAATCATTAAATGACTTTAATTCAGTTTTTGATCTAGTTCTTCAACTGTAACATCACTATTTCTATTGAATTCAGACAAAGCATGTCATCATTCAACTTAACAGGACAATCTATTTGTGACACATTGTTAAGCTAAAGTCATCATTTTTAAATCTTTCAGACATCTTTGGCAATATATTTCACTTAAAGAATTTTTCCTATAAAATAAACATCTTGAATATTTCAGGTCACTTTTATTGTATTATTGCTTTTTCTAAACTGATAGAGCGTTACATGTTCATCTTTAAAAGAGTCAAGTTAGTAACCAAGCTAGTGGAATCATAAAGTGACAACATTAACTTGTTTAAAACTGTACCAACCAACATATATTGTGTACTTTTATTATTTAGACATTTAGGATAGTGATAATATAGAGTATGAATATTACTTACTGGATAATCTATAAAAACATTTTTTTTTTCTCCCAACCATTTTTTTTTTTTTTTTTTACATTGTATGCATTTGTGTAGATACAATGTGTGGGGAGTTATTGTAGTGTAATGGTTAACAAGTTAGTATCAAAGACTAGTTTACCAGAAAGTGTGCTTGATCCCCACTTGGTATCTTGCGATAATTGTCGTCTGCCAGACAATGCAAAATAACTGTTATACAATCTTTCATTTTACATAAAAATTTATCATAGTTTTCAATATGTTGTCAGAATTGGCTAAAAAATAAAATTCAATCTCCATATTCAGATATTTAACTTTTCATTTTTGATTTTTTTTTTAATTACAGCAATTATTAAAATGTAGAACTCAATGTAAACAAGCTTTTCACTCACTCAAAATAAGACATTTTCTATGATAACAAGTAAAAATGATGGCAACATGATTGTCACTATTTATAGTTTCTTCTCATGGAATATATTCTCAATAAAAATGTCAACAACTTCATTTTAATCAAATGACATTGGAGAATAGAATGTATATTTTTTGACTAAAGCTAATTTATTTCAGATGAAAAAGATAAAATTACCCATCAAATGTTTATTAAGGATAAAGGAGGCAATTTGAAAATATCTGCTTCTTTGTTTTAACAATTTTGAACAGGTTACTTTTTTTTATTAGTAGGATAAAAGTGTGTTTCTGTAAGGAAAAAAACAAGAAAGAAAATTCCCTGGTTCTTTCATTATATTGTTTCTCTGTCAAAGTTTTGTTAGTTTGGATTTCACTTATTTTTTCTTGATAATCTCTATCTATTTACTAACAATAATTTTATTGTTTTTCTTATTACAGTTTTAGATTTTTTCCACCTAAACGTAAACTCCTAACTGAGGAAGAGTATATTGCTCAAGGTGTAATAGAAACCAAGAAAGCTCTTGAAGAACTGAGGGAATTCTGTCGAAGTCCAAAATGTGCCCCATGGCAAGTGATTAATACAATGCAATCACCAAAAAGGCAAGTCTCATATTTTATTTTATTTCATGTTTTCATTTTGTATAGCAATGACCAGAGTAATGCTATCCCTCTCTTTTTTTTTTTTTTTTTTTTTTTAAAGAAATTAGTCAATAGGCAAGTAAGCAAGGATATATAAATTAACTTTCTACATTTCATATCACTCCAATACCCAACAATTTACTCTGGTACTTACAGAATATAAACAAAATTACAATAAAATATCTGTATTCAGACACAGCCTGACCAGTCAATGTCTTTGCAAATAGTACACTCAATATTTGTGGGTACCTATTATTGAAACAGTGGACTGGATTAATTTCTGATTAATTACTTTAATGTCAATCAATCAAAACAATGATTATTAAGGACCAGTAACTACAAAAAATATTTTTGTTTTCATTCAAACCAGCTTTAAATGCCTGAAGACCACCTGATGGAAAATAAAAGCTATTTTAACATTAACTTGTTCAATGAAAATTATTCTATAAGAATGTTTTATGTTAAACAAAAAAAACTTATGTCTTTGTGACAATATACAGGATGTCATTGACTTATGACTTATGCAATATATGACTGTTCAACTTTAAGACCATAACCATGAATTGACATGTCTGGCCATGACTACTCTACATCTGGTAGCATGAGTGCTTCCCAGCTTGGTGTATGTATTTTGGTACTTGGTTTTGCAACTAAATGTATTTTGTTTTGTTTTTTTGCATCTGTATTTTGTTTTTTGTATGTTTAGCAACTGTACAGTAGTTTGCAGTATTTGACTTAAACCTGGCAAATGTAAAAATAAGAAACAAAACAATGTGTAAAAAGATGATACAAGTAGTACCAAACTTAAACAAACTAAAAAATTATAAAAAAAATACAATAATGCTGAAATAAAGATAAAAAGATTACAAAATTAATTATAAGCTGATTTACAACCTGTTGGTTGTAACTAATTGTAGTTGTAAGTTGACAATGACCAATATTTAATATGGCAGATGGGGTGTGTGGGTGTGTATAGAGATGTGTGTGTGTGTGTGTATATATATATATATATATATATATATATATATATATATATATATATAAGGGAGGTCATGAATAGTTCTCAGCTTGATTAAGAGAGGATTAAAAATGAAACAAAAAAAAAAGCTACAGCTTCTTTTGATTATGAGATGATTGTTGGAGACCAGAAAAATCAGACACTCAGAGGTGGGTAACAGAAGCAAGTATATACAAAGAATATATGAATTGCAAACAGTCAACAGCATTTGAACAAGGCAGGCAACCACAAGTGATATAAGAACAGGAACATGAGCAACTAACAAGAATGGTAACCACTCAACAAAGAAACATATTGTATCAAATCACACATTCCAATTCAAAGCTGGTGCTACTGTATTCCATGGGGTTTCATAGTTGTTGCCCAACAAGGGTAATGTTATTGACTTCCATGGCATCAGTTACTATCACTTATCTGAGCCAGAGAACATTGTCATTGGACTGAAGTCTTATGCCATGTCACCTGTTCAAATAATTCACAATTTCAATAATTTCAGACAAACTATCAAGTTTATGGGTAGCAGTGACCACATGAGACAATGGATCCAACCTGGTGTTGTGCAAGCTTATGGTTCCGTTTTCAAAGACCACCAGTAAAACTGGTACCTGTTTTGACAGGTGTAACATAATATGTAGATCTTGTTGCAGATGTTTTGGCATCCCTTTAAGCCCACCTTTTTTTTCAGTGGTGATGGTTTGTTCCAAGTTAACACTATCTTTCATCATGCATAGATGAAATGAAACTGGTTCCAGGTTTTCCACTGACCCCTACATCTCACTGAGCATGGGATTTCTTGCAGGTGTCACTAAATTCTTTTGTAGCCACACCCAATAAATGCAACTTGGTCATAGACAGCCTTGGAATATGCCAGGGCAAATATAATCACACCGATACCTCCGATAGTCACTGTTATTCAGTCAAAGGGATGAGTTACACATTATTAGGTAGCTGTCTCTAATTTTGGCAGCACTTCTGCAGTATATGAACAACTTATTTATTTAGCCATTTTCCTCTCAAAACTGACCTCTTGCCAATGTACCTCAGAAGTGCTTTAAGACATAATAACATATATAAAGATTATAATTTCATGGTAATAAAATAACTTAAAATTCAATAATCTTGTGCTATTTATCAAACTTGAATCTAATATGAATCATTTCAAATCAGGTTGGGAGATGTTTGAGGCATAATATGATTCTCTTTGTTTTATTTTTAACCATAGGAATTTTTGGATATAATGGGTTAATTTGAAATGTATAAAGATAATTTTCATGATATTTGATAAACTTGAATGAAGGGAATGGGTCATATTTGTCTCAACTCAATTAAGCAAGTTCATTAAAAAGTTAAATGTAATTGGCATGTAGCAAATAAAAGGATTTATGTTGTTATGGTGCTGGGTACATAAAAATTACATGTTTTTGTTACAAAGATAAAAAAAAATTGCTAACTGCTAATAATGGGTTAAAAAAACTGGCTACAAAGATAATTCCTTGTCTTCTAAATTACACTCATTTTTTTCTTCATTTTTAAAAGATCTTGAATAAAGCAATTTAAATTGGGTGCTAGGGAAATGATTATTTGATGGCTGAACAACTCATTGATATGTAATAGGATAAAGAAGATTTATGAGGATTTGATAATCAATCAAATAATTTTGTTGACAGCTCTGAAGGACACACAACAGAAACTGATTTATATTTATTATATAATGTTATTTATACTTTTTTTCTCTTCTTTTATTGATCATCTTTTCCCTTAAATAGTCTAAGAGATATCTCTTATGTTTTTCTTCACTGTCATTGAGAAGAATAATTCTATAATTTGAAAATTGCTTTATAACTTCATAATGAAGAAAACTATCAATCATTAGGGCCAGTGTGTACTATCTCTGAATCCCCCAAACAGAAGGAGCCCAAGCCTGATTGGTGGTCTTGGGTAGTGTCTTGTGACTATCAATATCTTATCAACATTTGTTTTATCTACTTACATTTATATATGTTACAAATTAAACTAAGCACAACTGACGATTAAAGGATGAAATTTTTTTTATATCCCAATCCATGAATTTTTGCTCATGCTAAATCTTGAAAAAAAAAACACTATATATTAATTTCACTATTTTTATCCATATTATTGGATGTGTTAAAATTATTCAACTTTTTAACAAGAACCAACCCTGATTAGGACTTTACCTTAAAATCTTGAATATTTGATACTTTTTTTTTTTTTTTTAAGAATATAGTCTCCTTACAAAATGTAAGCGATTATGGCTCTCCACAGCTTAAATATGTCAAATACCATAACTGTTCTTGGAAAAGATATTGCAGTAGTTTCCTATTGCCTTCCATATAGTTTTAAATTCAAAATAATCTTTTTTCCTCAACTGCCTGCCACCCAGTCTACATTGCTTATATCTCTATACACACATAGCTGAGTGTGTGTGTGAGGTGTGGGGGTACATAAGAGATAGATTTATGTTTTTCTTAAGGGCATTAATGTGAAATTAACACAATGGAAGTTGACAGAATTTGAACTCTGTTCATTGACTTCATTTCAATGTCAATAACCATGATGCTAGTCACATGGCTTGATTAAAGATTAAAAAACTAAAAATATTTGTTTGGTCATATATTAGTGTCCAAATAGATTTCATATCTTAAGTATAACTGTAGAGTAATTCACCATGATTAAATGTAATTGGCAGAAATGCCCAACAAACAGGATTGACAAAGTTTGCAATAAACGATAGGAAAAAGAACAGGGCAAAAATATTATTAAGCAAACAATATGTGCAAGACAAAAGTAGGCAAAGTAATAGTAATAAGGCAAAAAGTTCACAAACTAAGAATGGTGTTAACGCTGTTACAGACCAATTGCTGCAAACACAACATTTAAAAAGAAAAGATAAAAAAATCAATTTGTTGTCAAAGGAGATGACCAAGGTTTACCACTCCATAGTGGAAGGATTCTCTGATAGGTTCAAATACACTGATGAGAAACAGTAATGAACAACAAACACCAATATATATAATTTAATAAGATTTAATTATAACAAGACGATACATGAAAACAGAAATGCAAGTGTGGAAATATGTTTGTTATACATTTCTGTGTGGAAAGATGCATGCATTATATATCTGATATGAGTAGTTAAAGCCTATTTAGTCATTTGCCTGAAATAAGATAGTTTTCTCTCGGTTCTATATTTCTCTCTTCTTCTTTTTACTTTCAGTTCAGTTTGTTTCACCCATGCAACAATCTCTTTTGATATATTATTCTTTCTTCACTGTTATGAGTTTTGACCCCGAGAATTAGTCATTTACTCTCTTCACATATTCAGCAATGTAAAATTCATTGTTCAGGAAGATTCAGTGCCATATAAGTCTTAGCCTGTGTCCAGTTGAGCGGGTCACACATGCCTGTCTTAGGTGATTATCATGCTTAGTAATTCACCTGTGCATTTTATATATGCAGTATAGTATGTTGAGTTGAATTGGAACTCATCTTCATTGCACAATTTTTTTTGCTTGACAGTAACAAGTGAAAAGAGATTTTACTCGCTTAAGACTCGATTTCCAATTAATTCCTATCGTTATTTTCCTCGCTCTGTTTTGTACTTGATCATGTGATTCTACATACATATGAGAAGCTATTTTTAGATCTCACTTGGACCTGTTGCTAGGTCATCAGCCTGTCTGACTTAATTGTTCTTGTAGTCGGCGACTACTATTGCAGAGAGTGAGTGGATATACTATATTATAATGAGGTGGAAAGGGAGATGGTTTGCTAAGTGTAAAATGTGTATGGTTAGGGGTTTTGGTTGCGTAAAGATATAACAACACACAAAAGAGATACAGACAAGTGATCACAGCATTCTGACTTAAAGACTAGAGAACAGAGCTAAGTCAGATGAGACCAAAAAGTGGCCAAGGAGAAATCC